TATATATATATATATATATATATATATATATTAACTAGGTCAACTCTGTCTCACAGGTTTTATAACTAGTAATTCAGTTGAATGTTGATTGGTAGGGTATTACAAACTGAATCAAAGTTGAAATTATTCTTGTGGTAAAAACTTCATATGAAACCACATTAAAATGAAGCAGTCTCTACCTAACATACACCGGTGACTAGTTAGATTTTGACCTTTTTCTATGACATGAGGAAAAATGGGAAAATATGTTATATGAATTTCTTGTCACCACCAAAAAAAAAAAATCTGCTAAGATAATTTATTTGATTTCGAGAAAAATATGAGGGAATAGTGGAAAATTTTTATAATTTATTTATATCTAAATATCACCTCAATCGTCACCAAACTTTAAGTTTATTTTACCAAAAAAAGTTTTATGTTACCAGAAAATTTTTTAAGTTGTTTTATTGTCATATAATGCTTACTTCTACAAAGAATATTTCAAATTAAGTAATTCACATATGATTTGCAAAAGAAATCTGTAAAATAGATCGAATTAAAGTACATTGATTTTTTATCTCTCAAATTTAAAATTAATTTTTTTAGTCTATTTAATTTCAAAAAAAAAATTGTTTGAGTTCCTTAAAATTAAGACAATTATATGGTTTTTTTTTTTTTTAAAAGACAAAAGAAGAAAATTCATAGTAGGTGACTGTCAATTGAAAGTTTCTAGTGTGAAAAGAAAGGAGTTAGAGAAATTACATCGAAAAAAAGGAGTTAGAGAAGTTATCAATAGTTAATAGAGGTTAATCAAATATACATGTGTCAAAATTTGGAGTGAACAATCTTAGTAATTTTCTCTTTAAATGCTCAAATCGAGACTTGAGTAAAGGGTCAGAAATAATTCAAATAATCTCTAAACACATTTCTGCTTACTTTCATGACTTTTAATTTTGAAGAGTACTTGTATATATTTTTGTACCATATTTTCTTTTCTTTTTGATATAATATATAATTCTTGTTTTATCTTTTTTTTTTCCTTTAGTTTAATTTAATATAGTTCTTATGATATATGATTTCTTTGATTAATTTCTTATGATATCTTTTATTCAATGTGATTCATGTTTTACAATAATTGTTAAGGAATATATAGAGATCATAATTTGATGAACATATTTAAGTTGAAATGCTAGTTTAAATATAAAGAATTCACTAAACAAAATCACCGAAAATAATATATTACAAGACAATCCTATTTATGAAAATAATTTTAAAAATTACCTTACAATCATGAAAAGGCAATAAAGTTGACAATTATAAAAGCAAAGTTGATAGTATTGTTGGAAAGGGTTTTCTGATAGCTTGTTCTCTCTACAAGTAGTGAATGGGTGTTACTTTGAGTTCTGATTAGTTGAAAAAACTTCTATTGTGCAATTTGTGCTTAATTTTTTTCTCTATAATATGTACAGAAAATAGTTTAACTTTTAGCTATTAGATTGCGTGATAATCTGTCAACGAACTCAGTTGTTCACATTCTTCTTTTTCCTCGGAATCTTAGTTGTTCTTGTCCTTTCTACAGCTTAAATTGTTCTATGAACTATTTTAATATATGAAATGACAAGAAAAATGTTTTTCAATTACATATGAAAATGAGTAGTTGACTGTTCTAATACATGTGTGCATTATTATAAAACTTGGATTTAGACTAACCAGTTCAACTCCATGAACATGCACCGTAAACTGGCCTGTTGAACAGGACAAAGTAGCATAATAGATCAGCTAAGCACGAGAATCAGTGCAATCTGGTGTGATTTTGCAGGTTTTGCAGTAATCGAGACCAATATGCATGTGCTATTAGAGAGGATAAAAATAAACCCTTCTCATTCTTCTATTTTTCTTTTTCTCAAGTCTAAATTCTGGATACACAAATGAACCTGAAGACTGTGTTCTATCCTCTGAACCCTATTGCACTTTGATGAGGCAGATCGTCCATCGTTGTCTGTTCTCACCAACTGTGCAGTTCATTCACACTGCTCCATGTTATGAAATCCGAGGTAAGAGTTGAGTACTTGAGTTGCTACTTACTTTCTATATGTGTGACTTGTCTTCTTTAAAAATGTTTATACAATAAAAACATATAAATAAAGCTAAATTAAACAATAATTTAATATATATTTGTTTTTAATAACGCGACCTTAAATATAACATTTTTGTGACAAAATGACTGCCAAAACTTAAATACAACATTAAAAAAAAAACTCGTCAAGAATTAACACATTTGCACACGAACTCTGCAAAATGCGTGCTTATGTACAACGTGAAAGCATTTTGGAAAAAAAAATAATTTCGATCATATAAAAATTCATTAGTTAAAATTAAATTGAAATTAAATCAATTTTAACCATCATTGTTATATTATTTTTGAAACATCATAATTATATATTAAAATGTGTTTATCATATTAAATACGCCCCCTGTATATGTATACATCCACGAATTCCACTCCAAAAATATTTAAACTTGTAAACTCTCAATACATTATTTGACCATAATATTAACTGTCTAAGAAAATTTTTAATACATTATTTTACCATAAAAAAACCTCTTGAACACGAATAAGAAAATTCGACAATGGTTACTAAATATGATAATAAGAAAATATATTTTTTTTTATACACGAATCAAACAAAAAAAAATTACAACCAATCACACATCTCGTTTAACCAACTAAATTAGATCTTTTTAATAAAAAATGTATTACTATAGCAACTATGTTTGGAACCAACTAAAATTCTGTTTATTTAACAGGGAAAAAAATTTTTACGTACATATGACATTTTTCATTAACTTTTATATAACAAAAATAAAATTTACTAATTTACACTGACCTGTTAATTTTCAATCAAAATCAATGCTAAAAAAACAATAAATAGTCAAATAGACGAATTCTAGAAGAAAAATAGCCAATATATACCTTCGTCTAAAATTTTACAAAAACATACTTCACTTTGCTCTGATGTAAGCTTCGATCGATGGTTTTCTTCCTAGAAAGTCTGATAACACTTCAAGCGGACCTTTCACACCTGACGGTGTCAATACCTGCAAATTTTTTTAATCAAATATGCGAATAAATACTACCAAATTTACGACTGCAATCTCTAAATTTTGCTTTAACAAACCAATAAATTGCTGCATGTCATCATTATTCATATATAGGATAAAAATAGATCTTATCATCTAACCTCTTTAAAAAAGATAAGTTTAGATTCTTAAAAAAAATTATTTAAATAAAAATAAATAAATTTAAACTTATAAAAAAGTTTGTTAAATATAACAGGTGAATTTATTTATTTATATAATATAATAAAAAAATTATTATACATATATTATTAAAAATATAAATAAATAAATTTATAAACCAAAAATAAATAAATAATATTTAAAATATTTTTTATATAATTATCTTTATTTTAGGCAAAAATATACTTTTCGTCCCTTATATTATTTATTAGTGTCAATTTAGTCTCACTTTAATTAATTAAATCAATTTAATCCCACATCTTTAAAATGTATATCAATGTTTGACCTTCCATTTCTTCCGCTTAAATACTTAACAAATATAACACGTGTTATGCCACGTGTCATGCTATCATATCACGTGACATGACATCATAACAAGTGATATGACATATGGTATGACACGTGGCATGATGACATAACATGTGACATGGTAGCATG